TCTATATCTGTAAGCTTTAAAGCCCTATCATATATGTAAGAAATTGTCAATCAGTGGACTAAACTAATTTTCTGTAGTGTCATTGTAATAACACAAGTGCACATACATTTTATTAACTTCCCATTTAAATATACCCACGAAGAGTTAATTTTCTGATCATGCTGTATTTCCTGCATATTAAGTTTGCTGAATTGCATGCCCATGCTGTGAAAACATATACAATTTTAAATTTGTCATTTCAGTTAAGGGAAACCATTTTAAATAATACCAGTGTGATCGTGTGTAAAGAACAGGTTTTGCATAAATTGAGCCCCCCCCTTTAGGAAATCTAAACTTTAACATTTTCTCCTCAAGTATCTAGATGCCATTAATTTCTTCTTCATGGCAATTAAAAAGATACATTTCAGAAGTACTAAAGAGGAAAGGAACATAGTTTTATCACTTAATGTAACAGTAATCAGAATCATGATGGTATTTCATAAAAATATGACAAAATTTAACCTATTAAACTAGAGAGCATTTCTTTTCTAAGTGAATAAAATTCAGATTTTTTTTTCATTGAATACAGACTACAGCTTCCAAGTTGAGATACATCATAATGAACTGTTATAGTTTCTCCTTTCGATGACTGACAAAAAGATGTTTGTCACCAAGAATTTTTATAAACACTTGAAAGTTTGGCCAAGGTACACTGTTTAAATTGAATATGTATGCATTTTATTTCTATTATCTACTTCACAATCAAAAAATTCTTTATATAAGGAAAAAGTATCCCTCTAGGTCTTAGTCTAGAAGACACTTATGAGAGTATTAGAATCTATAAAATGCTGTTATAATAATTCAAAGATATAGTTGGAGTTGGAGTTCAGAACATAAAAAGAACAATGCAATAAACATCTTGTGAGAGTCAGTAGGAGTTAAAAAAAAATCTGTATCTTTGTAAGAGCAAAACTGCTATGGAAATTAAAAGGAAACAAACAAACATCCTACACAGGATCTTTTTTCTTCCTGTCCAAACAGGACCCTGAGGAGGACTATGGTATTTCTCTGGCCCTATTGGATTGGATTCCCCATCATCACAAAATTACAAATAAATATTAAAAACACTAATTATACAACTGTCCCAAGAGACTAATTGTCAGCAATTATTTTTATCATCCTACTAGGAACTACTATAATCCTCTGATTTATTTCCACACACGATATATAAAACACCTGCCATGCTTATACAGAAAGTAATTCAGTTGCTTTACTCAGTGACAAACTGTATTAGCCATAGTTGTACAGATAAATGTAAATAATAGAGTTATAAATCAGCCATTTATTATTACTATAACACTTAACTCATTCAGGATCCACAAGGGATGAAGTATTTATATAAGAGAACATTCTAGATTTAGGCAGTCCTCTGGACACATGAAAATTCGACTTCCCTTGATTTGTATTTTTGTTGTTCTGCCAGCTACACACTTAGAGTCAACATATTGCAGGGAGGCAGCACGCACATTAAATTGCATCAATCAGTCTACTCTGACACTTACCGCAGAAGGCTCCCAGTCCTACCACAAAAGAAGTGTGGCAGCATCCTTCACAACCTCTCTGCTTCAGGACTCTGTCTTTAGCATTGACCCAGGTTCCACCTTGGGTTTAAGCACAAGCCTAGGTCTCAACTGCACCGGGAGGCAGAGGGAAGGGAGGATAAAGGAAGTTAATGGGGAAAGTAGAAGTAATTAATACTTTAAGTCAGTAAAAGAAATTCTGAAGTGCTTTGAGCAATGACAGCATCATTCCAGGACAAGCAGCTTCGAAAAGTTCAGAAATGATACACGCAAACAATGAATCATGGAACACTACATCAAAAACTAATGATGTAATATATGGTGCTTAACATAACATAATAAATAAAATTAAAAAAAATGATTTTGAGGATTTATACATTTTATTTTTTTATTTTATTATGTTATGTTAATCACCATACATTATATCATTAGTTTTTGATGTAGTGTTCCATGATTCATTGAGGATTTATACATTTTAGTTTTCTTTTTTAAAATAGCCCCATCTTTTTTATATTGATACCTACCTCCAGGTGACTAGAACTTGCTAAGTGAGAATAATTGTGTGCTTTAAATAAGAAAAAAATACTTGGATGGATAATTTTATCACCTATTCACCTCTACATACCTCAGTTGGAAAATCCATGTACTCCTAAACCTATTTCTCCAGCATCCTTCCCTATGAAAAGATTATGACTTCAGCATCATCTGTTTGAATTTCAAGTGTAAGCAGGTGCAGAACATTCTAATCTACCCTTATCAGTCTTCTCACCAACTCCTCACCTTCCACACAAAGTCCCTTTCTTTGCCATGGCTGCATTGCACACCCCTTACTGCAGTCTACAAGCAAGGCTTATAACCTTTCCCTTCCCACGCCATCTTTTAAAATTAAAACTCTTGGTGACTGAGGAGGTTTTCTCTTTACCAAACCAAATTTTCCTAATACATTCCTATTCCTGCTCCAGTCCAGAATTAAAACCTGACTGGGAGGCAGAAATCTATACATTATTCCATTTGATCCTTTATAATACCCACAAAAAAGAAAGAACTGAGATGACAGCACTCCACTTTTATTCAACTAAGTATTAGCCATGGGGCCAAAGTGGAGCATGTTGGATTTTATGGAATAAGACTCATGTCATCATGAATCTGTGAGTTCTGACTTTCTCCAAGATAACACTCCATTCATGTTGTTATCTTCAGGAGAGAAGACTCAGCATCACATGACTGAAACTAAGAAGGGGGTGGGGATAACCATTGATTTACTCTAACATTGATTATCGATCAGGTAAGCAGCACATATCAAAACAAGAAAAAATACCCAATGACTTAAAAACCCATGGTTAGGAAAAAGGCAATAGTGCTGATAGGGGCAATTTATGATGACCTTAAAGAGCCATGTGTTCTTAAAAAGTGCATATATTAATGTTTTAAAATGCATTCATCTTGGGACCCCTGGGTGGCTCAGTTGGTTAAGTGTCTGACTTGATCTCAGCTCAGGTCTTGATCTCAGGGTCGTGAGTTTGAGCCCCGTGTTGGACTCCCTGTTGGTCAAGGAGCCTATTTAAAAATAATAAAATAAAAAATAAAATGCATTCATCTCAGCCTTGTTCAGAATAGCTGGAAACAATTTTAATGTCTAACAATATCAGTAGGGCACTGGTTAAATAAATTATGTGATATCCTTAATGTGGAATACTCCACAGTCATTAAAATGACTTCCCCTTTTCTGATTTCAGTGCTCTTGGATTTTTATACCATTAATTTGGGGTTTTTTAATTCTCATTTTGAGGACCTTGTGATTTAAAAAGTCCTCTGAGGAATTTTTAGCCACTTTCCAGATAACTTTAAGTCAAATGCAAGTCATTATTTCCAGGCAGCCAAAGTAGTGTTTCACTGCTGATTCTGCCTGAGGACTGAGAATCCGTATACCACCAACTTGATTCTATATCATATTTTAATTCTGGTCTGCCATTTTGTTTTGGCTTCAGTGATACATGACATTTTGGATGTTTTTCAGGGAAATAGCTTTGGACAATCTTTATTAACTTATTTATCTCAACATAGATAAGCAGGAAACCGTTTCTACACAAGTTAAATATAATAATAAAAATTTCTCCAAAACTTTTTCTCCTATCAAATCATGAAAATTATTCTTACTTGTATGAACTATATTCATGTGGAGAAAAGGGACTCAATACAAAAGTTTATAACTAATGCTTCTGCTTATCACTTACAGATTCCAATTGATAAAATTATGATAGTAAAACAGATAACAACAGATCAACTTCTCAAAGGTAGCCTAAGTTTTCTGAAAATCACCACAAAATTGCCTTTAAAAATGAGCCATATCAAGATATTTTCAAAGACAAAAAACAAAACCAAAAATTTTGGCATTGATAAAAATAGACTTTCCCTCTAATTTGTTGCAATGAAATAAGGCTAGAAATTGTATAGAAATGCACACATCAGCTTGATGTTGAAACACCTCTTCATTAAGCATATTTTTCCTTGGAAAGACCAAACTAGATATTTCATTTTGGCATGTAGAAATGTTTGTGAATATAATCACTAAATGCATAGGGTGCCTTTTCATATCAAAAGGATTAAGAGGTTTTGCTAGAAACAATTGTGGAGTTATAGAGAAAATTTTAAGACAGCCTTATTTCTGTAAAAATGAAATAATAAAAATTTGCTAATTGTTCTTATATTGTCATTGTACTCAGAATTTAGTAATAAAAGGAGACTAATTTCATTCATCTATCCTTTCAACTTCCATGTATTAAACCTCAGTGTTAATCACTGTTGAAATTCAAAGGTCTGCCATTAAACACTGAACACAAGTAAACCCATAAATATCTTCCGGTTTTTAAAAATAGAATGTCAAAAGTGAAATCATGGAGGTATATCATAACATATGGGAATAAGAGAAACTTATTCACATTTTTGCAAGAGAGAAAATAAATTTCATAGAGATGGTAATCCCTCATCCTGGGCTTCGATAAACATAATATAGTTATAAAGAACACAGAAGTGATTCATTCCAGAAAATGTCTCTAGAAAACCAGTGTTACATGTTTGGATAAAATTGGAGGGCATCTATTTCAGAGAAGTACTGTTTAGATAAAAATTTTTCCTTACCCCTGAAAATAGAAAGTGCAAGGGTTTGTAGTAGTAGTAGTTTTTATTGTATTATTCAGTTAAGTTTAGTTTTGTATTAAAATCAACACAGAGCTTTTGATGTGAAAAACTAATAGTAAGCAAGGAAGATACTGTTACTGGTTTTAAGAACATTTATGTTTTTTGTAAGTAACAATTTTGAAGACTGTTGATAATAGATGTCAGAACTGCTGTCAATTTTGGGTTTGGCTTCTCAATTTCTCAATAAGAATCCATCTACAAATCAAAGGTCTACATTTAGGTTTGTTTCATTCATATTTGTAGCTCATTTTTGAAGGTATTCGAGGTCCTGGCATAGAAGGTGACATTGCCATTGATGATGTATCAATTGCAGAAGGAGAATGTGCAAAACAAGACCTAACGACTAAGAGTAAGTGTCTATTCTTGGATTGGTTTGATGTGATGTTAAAGTAACATAATAACTATTCAACTAAAATGGTCTAATTTTTAAAACTCAGTTATTTTTAGTTTGTAAATTTAGAAATTCCTTACATGTGAGACCCTAAAATTTTGAAGATATTTTTAAAACAAAGTATTAAATTTGATGGTACGCATATTTGACCTAAGATAAGACAAAAGTAATTTTGGTTTAGGTCTATGTAAGTAAAGCCCACTTTGATTTTTAATTAAGATTTTAAAAAGTATTTAATTTATATTATTAATTTCAAAGGATTTTTTTTACTTTTATTAAAATATTTGGCTGACTTATATACTCAGCACACCTCTATATAACCATAGCTGTTTTTATCCCCCTCTCCCCCATTTATGAATATATTTTCTAGGTCTAACTTTTGCCAGCCATTTTAATAGATTCGCTATTGTGAAGAGCCTAACTATGTTCAATAAGTAATAAATCAGCCCATTTGTATTCTAGTATAATTCATCTATGTGCGTCACAATCTTGTTTAGTAATTTGGTTTCATTTTTTACTCTGGTTTGAATATTATAGTTTAATGATATCTTCAAATTTTATTTTGTCACCACAAAAATGTTTTGAATAAGAGATATAAATTAAAATTTATAAATAATGCAAAAAACATCAGAATTATGTGTTGAGCTGCTTCGTAAAATCTTCATCTCCATATTTTCTATGTGAAGTTGAGAAAACTAAAATCACATCTTTTAAAAATTCCTCCACTTCAAGTATTTTCATGGGCCCTTCTGGAATCTTTAATTTTGTGGTTATATAAAGGGGTATCGATCAAGCTAAATTTACACAAATAACTCATCAATTATTTAGTACATATAAAAGGAATGTGAAAATCTATTTTGTTAAGTCTAGAGCAAATCAGTCTTTGTTGACTGAGTGTATTTAATGAGAAATTATATTAGTCTAGATGTTGAAAGTTAAATTTCTGCAACTACCTAGTGATTGCTCATAGGAACTGAACTGACTCCATTTTTAAGCATTGTAAAAAGACAAAAACTAAGATTGTGTATAACAATGAGCCACTTTGCTCATAGTTTTCACCTTGTCATTATACTTAGCATTTCAAGTAACAAATTTAGTAAAAATTTCTCCCTGTGTCTGGCTAATTTTGCTTTAAAAAAACCAGTAGCAGTATCGAAATGAAGTAGATTTGTCAAATGCACAGAAAAGCATGCATTCTCCTTAGAGGAGGAGAATAGGATTTCTTTCGAATTTCCTAACATAAATCAGCTACAGTAATATTCTAGTAACTGAAGGTAGTTACCATCTTACATAGAAATCTTACATTTAGATAATTTGATCACTGAAAACTATTACAAATTAAATTTTAAAAATTGAATTAAACTTTCCAAATGAGGAAAGCAGGAGAGAACATTCTCCCTCATGGAGAAAACAGAAGTGGTAAGAGTAGCAACAGGAAAATGATGATGAAAACCCCAAAGGACTTTATTGTTACATAATAGAACACTTTCAAAATCAGGTTTCTTCTCTTCTAAAGTCAGAGAAATGTGTGGCTGTTTTAAATAAGATATATCTGTACATATTGGAGGTATTTTTATTCAGCCTCTGTAAATCAGAGGAAACAGCCCTATTGAACAAAAACATTTTCTTTGGTATGAGAAAGTATTCTGTTACATCTGTATCTATTTAACTAGCTTTTACTAAGCTCATTTTGACAGTGTTTGGTGAATATTAAATTAATGTTAATTTCTAAGTACAAACTAGCTTGGCAGCCAAAAGCCTCCTCCTAACTGCTCGGGTTCCCAACCCTTCTCAGGCAATAAATGGTACTATGGCCCATACTATCAAAAACTGAGGTTGTCTGTTGTCTCCAAACCCAGCTCTCTCCTAGGTGAGAGCCATTTTGTAACTTATGCCAGGGGAATGAATGATCCAGCTTGCTCATGTTAGCCCTTCTGGGCAAGGCATACATTCTAGGTATCACTTGGACATGAAGCTCTACTTGAAACACCAATTATGGTAGGAATCTTAAGTCAGAATAGTGGGACAGATTTTTTAGTTAAAATGGACTTCATAATGCTTCTAAAACTCACACTGAATAGATAATTATTTATTCAGTGTATAGATACTGGACTGATCTAAGCAGTGTTTGCGGTATCTGATTTTCTACCCATAACAATCCCTTCTTAGTTTTCATAAAAAGTAGTTTTTTTCTCACTCTTTAATCTTAATCATTTCTGGAAGCTTTGGAAAAAAACCGACCTCTTAGGATTACCAAGAATTTCCTGTGTACATACTTCCATGTGGCTAGTAGAACTCTGAGGTTGAACTCAGCCACAAACTCACACAAATACCTTCCAGACAAGTTCTCATAGTATATCATATCAACTTAAAATATTTCTATTTTTCTAACCACACATTTAAGTTATTTTCCTTTTCACATGTCTTGGAAATAGGCTGATAATTAAAACAAACCAAAAAAAAAAGTATTTTCCAAAAATGCTTTCCATATACTCTGTTGTTTTATTAGTTCACCAAAGTTGTATTGGTAGCTACATGGAATATTTATTCTTTTTTTTGTTTGTTTCTTGGCATTTATTTTCCTTGTCTTTAGATTCTGTTGATGGTGCTGTTGGAATTTTAGTACATCTATGGCTTTTTCCGGTCATTGTACTCATCTCTATCTTAAGTCCTCGAAGGTGACCTTATCCTGGCAGAGGCTATAAAAGATTCACCAGGCACTGGCATGAAGAAAGAGTCTTTGTAAATGGACATTGAAAAACAAACTACCAAAGATTCCTCCACTGACTACTGACTCAAAAATAAAATAATAAAAATGAATTTTTTAAAGCACTGGGGATAAAAAGACATCATGGAAGTATAACTTATTCCAAACTACATATAAAATATTCTTGACCTGAGTAGAGAAGAGACCTTCAGGTGCTTTTGTGGCTAAAAAGATTTCAGCGTCATCTGGTCATCTGGTTGAACTCTGGAAAAAAAAAAAAAGCTATAGAAATCCTTGTCAAAGCACAAAGTCATGGCTGGTTTTGTTTCAAATGAATAATTTGCTTGTTACCATGGAAACCTAATGGCCTGCCAACAAAAACCTCACTGTAAACAGGGTACGTGAAGAGCTGGCATTTATTTTCCTTTCAAGAAGGTTTTACATAGAGAATTAAATAAACGTAGGCCCATTTACCTTTGGTTGTTACACTTCCTTGAAAATAACCCGAACTCAGAATTATTTAAAGCATTCATGCTCCTCCCCACCTGTCCCCACCCCACCTTTATTGTTATTTTTTTCCTCCCATGGCTAAGCTAGATAACTGTATGCTGTCTCTTTTTGCATGCATTACTATCCAGGATGGTAAACCTGGGCTTACATATTACACAGGCTTATCGGAGTTTGCTTGCGGCCACTTGAACACCCAAACTAAGTCATCTGTTCCAATGAAGAAACCAAACCACCATCTTTTATAAATTGCCATGGAAACCAAGTGCCTTCAATGAAACAAGCCTGAATAATTTTCAACTCAGAAGCTTGCACTGCTAAGAGTGGTTTGTGTAAAACTATTTTATAAACAAACTACAGAGCCTAAGTGTGCAAATGACAGGCAAGACAACAAAAGCCGCTTCTGAAGAAGAAAGGACCGGAGCTGCTGAGTAAGCCCATGCAGACGAGCTATTTGTTGTTTGACCTCCTAGACAGCCATGGCCTTTCGGCTTAGTGTCCATTAGAAAATAACTTCCATTGAGACCAGACATGGGAGCAACACTTTTTTCTTCCAGGTTATTAAATGGGTCAACCAGAGCAAAAGGTTGTTAAGATAATACTTAGCGCAGAAGGTGATAAAACACAAGAGTGATTTTTTTTTTACTCTAACCTCCATTTGAAATGAAATTGGCCCTAGCTTTAGAGGGAGCAAGAAAATGTTTGTGATTGCAGTGCATACAAACTCTACAGCGGAACTGGGCCTGAAAAATCTGGCTTTATTCTAAACACTGAGGGTAATATGCCTCTGCCCTTTAGTCAGACTCTGTGCAGATTGTGAAATATTATTTTATTATTTTACCAAGATTAAAAACACTTTTACAAAAAAAAACAAAAACGTGTAAAAATGATTTTGAGCTACCTGAGGACAAATCATACCTTTAACCAGCCAGTTTTCCAATGCATTGTAAATTTCACTTAAACCTGTTGGTTATGAAAATTTGAAGATCTTTTTCCTTAAATTATCTCAGCTTTTAACTTCATTTAAAAAGACTTTTGTCTAAAGAAGAATATTATTATTATTATATGTTCTTTCAATACCCCAGGATTAAAAAAAAACTGATTATGCAAGTAATTGGGATATAAGTATTAAATTATAACATTTGCAAATATTAATATAAAAAGCACAACAAAATGTAGTGGAAAATGACAAAGCTTGATTTTTAAAAGAAAAAAAATCTGTAGAAATGTTTGTGCAAATTCAGTAATTCAACTTAAAAGATAATTTTACAGCTATGTTCAATAAAGCCTCTTTCCAGGTAAGGTATGCAAAGCGGTATGTGTGTTTGTTGAGCAATGTTTACTTGTCACCAAAATGAGACTAGCTATACAATTTATCGGTTATGTTACCATGGGATAAATCTTCAGGACTTCATACACTTTAATGTCTGCAGGAAAGAATTTAATAGGAACTCCTGAAGCACTCTTCCATATTTTTCATACATGTAAAAAAAAAAAGTCAAACCTGTGAAAGTAAAATATGAAACAAATGTGAATTTGGAATTTAATGCATATTTTCATAGTTAAAGAGGGGACCAGCTGGAATATCTAGGTAGTGATAAAATCGAGCTAAACCGATTCCTTTAAATTAAACAGAATTAACTAATAAGCTTTATAACTTATTTGAACACATTAGGCATATTGAAAATTTTCAGAATTACAGTCAACCATCTGTTTTATCAAACCAAAGAGATTAAACAATATTGGGGGGCACTTAGCTTAGTATTTACTAACTCTCCTTCACCTTGACTTCCATTTTGTGTGGCAACTAACCACTTCCCTCCACTATCCCATATTAGTGGATCATCCTTCCTAATTGATTTTCTGCACACTCACTGCTGATAATATTAATAAAATTGTTTTCATCTAAAGAGAGGCTTAGCTCATTGCCACCTTCTTCCCTTATCTTGAATTTGATTTGAGTGAGACTTTTGCAAAGAACTAAAAAAAAAACCTATACTCAGAATATTTGGGTATACCTTTGTCCTTTCCAGGAAAACAATCAAGTCTCCTTTTCTCCTTATTAACACTGCATAAAGAAATTGTTATAAGTGAAAGCTTCAATCCTTCTACAAAGTACTCATAAAATACTAAAGTCTTTCTATAACTTTTCACACATTAAGAATACACACGCTTAAGAAGTCATGAGAACTGGCTGGTACTTCAAAAATTAATTTTGATTAAATTTTTGAGAAATTGCAGATGAGCACCAAGAACAAAGGGCAATCAGAAGAACTGCAAAAACAATCAGATTTATTGATATAGTAATAAATTAGAGTATATATCTCAAGTGGGTTCTGGATCATTTATATAAACCAACAATCTTAGAATTGTAGAATGTTTTTCACTCCAGATCAAATGTTCAGTTGCTTTAATTGAAAGAAAATGAATCAAAATGCAGGAAATTTTAAAAGGTTGGGACAAGTGAAATGTAAACTGTGTTAAGTAATCTGTTTAACATTAGTTATAATAATGATGACTTTAAAGCACTTACCTGTTTATCAACTGCTTTTCTTTTCCTAATATTTTTTGTATTTATTATGAGTTGAACTCACCAACGTATTTCCCTTTTTCCTTTTTGATAACATTTTAAGTGTAATTGATGCCATTTTTGTTGTTGTTCTTTATAGGAAGGCATCAGGCTTTTAATTCTCTGGGAGAAAGATTATACCATGTAATCTCCTAGTGTCAGTAACTGATCCGATTAATTAGGAGCTTACTCTGTCTTATTAGTTCAAAGATGGTTGGTTCCTCCACATTTTAACATCTCTGCAACTGGGCCTATTTTAATTATAATTGGTAGCATTTCTGTGTAGTGATATATAAAATAAAAGTGTATATTAAAACTGATGGCATCTTAGATATGTTGAAATTCACCAAATTCACTAAAGTCTCCAGAAGAGCCAAATCATGCCCAATATCATTCCTTTTCAACAATCTCAAAAGTGAGAAAAGGATGCCCTATCATATTTGTAGGATTTATATTAAATACTCATTGCCTATGCATTATTTAAAAATAACATAACTTTTTATTTTGTGCTTTTTAAAAATCTGAATCTTCTCTTACAGACATTATATACATACCTAGCCCTGTTGTCTTTTTTTTTTCTTCCTGCTACCTATTCATGAAGTACAATATGCTATGTATCCCTGGTTTGAAATGTTTTCTTGTTTTGTGTGATTCATAGTACTTAGTAAGTTAGAAGTTTGGCCTGCCATTAAATTTTCTTTAAGAAATCTGAAAGATGCATGGTACATACACTACAATGCCATACAATAGGCTAAACTAACAGTACTTCATTTCACATTATCACAGAATTGACTTTGGCATGGCAATGAATTATGATAATTATAATAATCAGAATTACAAAGCAGCTAGTCAGTTACATCATGTTACAAATAATAAAAATAATCCCACTCTTTTATATTTTAAAATATGACAAAATATGAATGACAACTGTACTAACTTTTCACCAAACATGCATTTTTACTTTAAGACTTCATAATAAACTTATCTGTCAAAGTGCATAATTTGAAGAACAATTAATTAATTCAGGTCTATACTTAAGACTGTATGATACTGGCTGTGGTACTTTTTATGACCTATTTTGTTTGTTTTGATTAGTGATTTGAAAGATGGTGACAGACTAATGTGATTTTCAAAGGATTCTTTAACAACAAAACAAACTTTTTTTTTTTTTTTTAATGTGCCTTTCAAAGATCAGGGCCTCACAACAGCATTTAAACCAGAAAAAATTTCACTTCAAATTCATTTCCTTTTTGGTTGATGGCTACTTCTTACAAATTGCTTCGCCTGCGGCTCAACAAAGCAGAAGGTATATACTCTTCTTGCAACTGGGTAGTTGCTATCAATGAGGAGTTACTGCATTTTCTGTGAAAACAATAAAACCATAGGGTTCAATCCCATGCTATTTCCTTTCCTACAACGTTCCTTTTGTGTCTAACCAGTTTAATTAGTTTTCTTAGTGCTTATTTTTAAAAAGCAGTCTGACATTTTTTTACTTCAACTTAGGAGAAAAGCTACCATGAACGAACTTTTTTCAAATCCGATATTAAAAAGCTCTTTGCTGAGTATCCATAGTACTTATAAATATATGTTATTACATAGAAAAAGTAGGACTCAAAGATTTGAAATTTACTGGGCAATATGTCAATTCAGAATCAATCCATCATACGTTCATGTCTGCTTAGAAACAACTGTAAGTTAGGGAGAGATAACTATTCCATATATTTCCATATGGAATTCTTTATTGACATTATTAGAATAAAGCTTAATAAAATATGGGTAGTGCTTTCACTACCCTGAACCCATATTGAGTACATTGAAATTAAGGGATTGGTATTCAAAATTCTGAGCAGGATAGGGGTTATTAAACTCTAGATAGAAATGAAATAGTTTTCTCAAGGGAGTATTTACAACTGATTGAATTTAATTTCAATTGTTCTAACTTTCCATGAGTTGAGCTTAAAAAAATATTCTTTTCAATAAAAATGATGGGAAATTCTATGAAATAGGGATTAGCTTGTTAGTTTCAGTTTGTTTTCATATGGCTCTTAATTGTTGTCCTGGACTTCCAGGATACTATTTTTATTTCTTGAATCTCATTAGTATATTTAAATGTATAAGTTTAATCAAATATCTATTGTGTTGAATTTATATTGAATATTAGTTACATTTTAGATCTCAAAGTTTAGATTTAACTTACTTTTCATTTTGATATTTTACTTCTGCTAAATAGTTTCAGATAGCTGTATGTTATTTTCCCTTGGATTTTCTTTCAATAAATGCAATTATGTTAAATACTCTATTAGTGTTTTGGGGAAATTTCTGCTGTCAATAAGCACTTAAGTTAGAAACAAAAAGCTATTTAGAATGGCAATTATATTTGCAAATTAAGATGAAAATGCCATCATTTCTTTCACTATTAAAAAGCTTTTATAGACTCAACACTGCAGTGAAGCACAATTAGCCCATTAAAGATACGTGTTGATTTTTACATCCTTTGTGAGGGATCATTTATAAGATTGTGTTAAGTAGGCACTAAAAAAACTTCCTGAATGAACTGTGATTTAAGAATTATGGCTCAATTTAGTAACTCTGGGCTTCTGCACGATATGTGAAATATCCACTGAAGATTACAGCACTAATGTTCTCCAGGAAGATAGTTCCAGTCACATAGTTCATGGGGGCACTGTCGGCTACATGTGGGTCTTCTGAGG